GGCCTGAACGACAACAAAAGGCAAAAATCGCTTGGCACGGAACGTGTTAATCCACTCGATTGAAATATTTAGACCGCTGTTTCAATGATAAATAAATTTGCTGCGATTTTCTTCATTTTTCAATATCAGTAGTACTGCTGTTCGCTATCGAAGAGCGAGAATGCTATTTTTCCTCAAAGATAGTCATCATCACGCGTGCAAAATCTTGCACCAGAGACGAACAATCGTAGGTTTCGCAGGTTTTTCTTGGCAGTGACTTCCCGGCCGCTCGAGAGCTTCAGCTACGTGACCCTTGTTCCTCGGCCAAATTTCCGCAATCGCGATCCCAAACAAACGTCCACGATTTTCCTACCTTTATTTCATTTAAACGAGGAAGGCCCGAAATGACACGCGCGTCATTATGCTTCATTCTAAATATTCTTATTTACTTGCCGAGGGGAAATTAGCGTTCCGCGTCTGTTCAACTCTTCGAGAGCAACATATTGGACATTTCACCATACTTCTACTTTTATGCGAGTGAGGTTCTTCATTGTTCCTCGAATGTGAATGTGTTGCAAGTGCAACGCCGGACGATGACGCGACTTGCCTCCATTGTTTCTGTTCTTATGAATAAAAAGATTTTACTTGAACTTGATGTATCAGCTGCTAATATTCATAAAGATTATGCAACTGCACTATTGTTGAACCCTGCGTACTTGACGTACGTAGTAAATCAGTAGTCATAGATGCACTTGGAGTGCAATGTTAATACGTATAATGCGATATTAATATTAATAACGTTGCATCGAGTGCAAGTGCAAGTGCATCTAAGATACTGTAAGAAACACGAGCCACGTCTGTCGCTAACTGTACTTGGAAAACGGTTTTCTTTCACTCGAATCAGGGACTTTGTCCACGAGGACGAAGAGTACGACGAGGACGACGAGGACGACGAAGACCTCGAGGAGGATGATGATGTTATGGTGAACGACAATCGAGTTGGGATCGAGCTGGAGGATCGGCTGATGGTTTTCGGCGATTCCGCGTGCAACTATGCCACGTCGTTGGACTACAGGAACACGATTGACTTGCGGGAGATCGGCGTCGAATCGAAAAGGGACACGTTGTTGGACCTGAAGTCTGGCCAGGCGGCCGTGTCGAGTTCGTTTCGTCTGCTGCAGACCAAGTTAAATATAGCCGGCAGTATGGCGCACGGTCGCAACAACATGGTCGCCGATCATCATCACCGTCATTACCACCATCATCAGTTGCAGCAGCAGCAGCAGCAGCAGCACCAGCACCAGCAGCAGCAGCAGCAGCAGCACCAGCTCCACGGATACGAGCAGCACGAGCAGCACGAGCGTCAAGGGTGGAGCAACGAGGAGTGCTTTAATTTTAGATTCACGGATAAATCTCAAAGCGCGCCCAGTCTGCCTAGCAGCGTCGACGAGTCCGCACAAGGTCCACGCTCGTTCACCTCGTTCGCTCGTTCGTCGTCGAGAGTGGCCTGCTTCGTTTCCACGTCCAGTCTGTTCGAGAATTACACGAGGGTCGCCAGCGTGCCCGTCGATTTGAATCTCTGCGGCGTCCACGCGACGCACGATGATACCTGTCGCCGCTCGCCAGTGAGTTCGCACGAGCACCACGAAATGGCGGAAGCCGCCTCGGTCGTTCAGGGTAAGAAGAAACGGCTGGAGAGCGCGGAGGAAGAAATTCGTCAGAACGGCGGCGAGGAGGGCGAAGGAGGACAGGCGAAGAAGAAGAACTCGTTGACGAGCTCCGTGAGAACGCAAGCCGCGCAGAACGTTGCGGAGAGGATGGCGGAGGACGGCAAGAGGATGGAGAGCGAGAAAGCAGCGGAAGAGCAGCAGCAGAAGGAGGACAAGGAGGAGCGCTGCGTAGGAGAGCACTGTCCAACGCCGCGAGAAAGGAAGCAACTGGTCTCGACGGTGAAGACGCAGGATCGCGGCAACTGCGTGCTCGACATGGCGATCGCCATGGAGAACGACGTCGACTCGGTGGACGCAGCGATCAAGCAATTGAAGCGCGAGGTGGTCGACGAGGAGGTCACCTCGAACAGCAGCAGCGCCGGAACGTTGTCTGGTATCGAGGGTATCCAGAGAACTCCGTCCGGCAGGCAGCGGCCTTGGAAAATGAAGAACAACGCTAGCTACGAGTTGGCTCAGCAGTTCGAGGTCGACGAGAAGAACTTCAGGCCGATCAGACATCGCAAGAACATCGCGGGCAACGATAATGAAAACGTCGGTGGTGGTGAAAAGTCGCTGAGAAGCGGACGGAAACGAGTGTTGAACAACGCCAGTTACGAGCTGGCTCAACAGTGCGATTACATCAAGGCTCTGCAATCCTCTCGAGGTGCATTCAAACGAATGGACGCTTGCGACGAGCTGGAGGAGTCGATCTCCGGGCGATCCTCGCGACTCAGAGTTTCCGACATGGTGCAGCAAATGAGCAGTAGCTCGACGTCGAATCTGCCTAGCTACAACGAGCCGTACGTGGACCTCAGGAGATACTCCAAGTCCACGGAGAACCTTTCGACGCAGTTCTCGATAGCCCCGTTCACCAGGGTGCCGATCAACCAGCTGGGCCAGCGGCTCAAGAAACAGGAGGAGGAAACATTCTTCAGCCAGATAAAAAAAAACTCGGATCCATTTTCAGCCTATGGAGACGATTCTAATGTGCGTGCCTTAGTAGACGAGGAAATAGATTTACCCTGCTTGGAAACCAAACCCATAGGAACTTCCAGCCTGGAGGGGGGCGTACTACGCGAACGGGTGACGAGCGCCCAGAAACCTCAGGAACCATTAACCCCGGAATGCTTGAAAAATGTTGATTCAAACGCTTCGCACAAAGCCGCGATTACAGACGCGGATCGAGACGCAACGAACGAGACGAGCTGTTCGAAGAGGTCGTTCATCGGTGATTTCTATCCGGAAAAAATCTTGCGGTTGCAGCGACAGATGGAGGAGGATCGTCGCGAGATGGACGGAAGCGGTAGCAAAAACGAAAGTTCCTCGTCGATTCGATCATCATCGTCGCCGTCGTCGCCGTCGTCGTCGTCATCGTCGTCGAGTAGATCGTCGGCGTACGATAGAAACGGTGGAGAACTGCTGTGGAGGGTCATAGTGGAAAAACAGGCCGCAGAGAAAGAGGAGGAGAAGGAGGAGGAGGAGAAGAAGAACGAGAGAGAGCAAGAACCAAGGAGGGAGAAGGAGGAGGAGGAGGAGGAGGAGGCGGCAACGGAAGCAGCGAGGGGACATACTGTCCACGGTGTTCGTTGCCCCCCACTCGGCAGTAGCAGCAGCAGCAACAGCGACGGCCTGGAACCCAGTGAACGGAGTGGGAATCCAGCGGTGGCCGTGGCAGTTGATACGAATCATCGCGGTGATCGCGACAAACGTCACGAGGAGAACGCGGCGGTAGCAACGACAACAACAACAACAACAACAACAACTGCGCCGGTTAGGATAGTAGACGACGACGACAGACACGACGGCCACGCGACCATGTCGGCCACGACGACCACAACGAAACCGCGGCCGTTCGTCGCGGCGACCGTCCCCAAGAACGAGCCATCCGCCGCGAGATTCCAGCGGAACATGGTTGTCGACGCGTCGTCCGCGACCACCGTGAAGGAGGAACGGAAAAAGGGTGGACTCGGTGGTTTCCTTCAACGATTCTCGCGGCTTCGATTCAGTGGTAGGTCGAAAGTGCCGCGGTCCGAGGTGCAGAAGAAAAGTGACACGATCGGCCAAGTGAACCGCGCCAAGGTGAACACCGAACAGCCAAAGGTTAAAAAGGAGCCGGACTACATCATCATTCCGTTGCATCCTCCCGAAGAGGAGAGACACAGGCAGGAGCAGAACGCCGCTGGCAATGACAGGACCGTTCAACCGAGTTCCTCCATTATAAGGTTAGTATTTCCATCGATCGTCGATCGTGGAAACGCTCTCTTTGTTCCCTGTTCGCACGTTGATCGCGTTGACTTTGACCTAAGGTAATTGTTTACACGGTTCTCGCGCGGGCGAAAATATATAGAAGCAAGGCGGCGGTGAATCACGGTGAATCGCGCTGCCTTCTACGGCTTCTACACGTAAACATTTATCTTTCCTCCGCTGGTAGGAAATACGTCGGCACCTGAACGCTTCTCGGATTCTGAACGCTGTCGTTTATTTAACGTTCTTGGTACATACATTCGATGTACATACGGGCAATAGACAACGAACGAATGTACGCGTATATCGTACGCTCTAACAATAACAAACATTCCGTTCGCGTTTCACACGTATATCCCTGGCTTCTGTAGCCGAATTATATCCTAGTGCAAAATCCCGCGAACGTTGTTCGAAAGCGTGTTCTTACAGCGTGATACATCTTACATAATTAGCGGATTATGAAAGGAATCTAACACGTATGCGTACATGTACGCGTGCCTCTCTGTGCGGCACACGCCTTTCATTTCTACCTGAGAAACGTCAGCTCGCGTCGACGTTTTGTATTTACGTTTGTATCGTGGAAAAATTGATACCTGTTGATACCTTCACCGGTATCAATTCGTTTCCCTCGCGACGAGCAACGAGCTGACATCGGCGAGGTCAGCGGTGGCCGACGAAGAAGTTTTCGTAATGGCGGCCAGAGTCAACGAACAGCTATCAAGAGTAACGCGCGCCCACCCACCACTCTCTCTCCCGCGATCATTTTCGCGCGTCTCGCGTCTCGTTGAAGAAAATCCTTGTGCCATTTATTCGCCGGCTGTCCACTCTCGCGTTTCTGTGTCGCTTCTAATTCCTTGCCTATGATCGGGGCTTCACGTTCCTCGTTATCCGATCGATAGGATTTCACTCTCGTTTCGCGCACGTAAACGCATTCCGATCATCGGCCCCTGCCGATTCGTTGCTCTCCCCGACCACGCTAACGCAGGAGCAACCAGTCCGCTCTTCTTCTTAATTGAATTTCACTCTCACCCCGTTCCGGTGCCGTTTGTCGACGTAATTCGACCTGATTGCATTCTGTAACAGTAAACTGGCGTCGTTTAACCTTTATCGTATATCCCTCTTCTTCCAACGAAGCGTTTCCCCCTTCGGAAACTCGACCGAGGATCGGCGTGATACAGGGGATCGGGAATGTCTCGACGATTCGTGGGACGCAAATACGGGTTGCGTCGGGGAAACGCAGGACTTCGTTCAGAGTGATCGGCAGAGCACGAGTTCCGAAATTTTTCAGCAAATTGTTTGATACTGTTTGACGTGGTAAATTGCAAAGCCAAACATTGCAACGTCTTAATTATCACTCTTTTCTATTAGAAATGTAGAAACGTACGAATTCATACATTTTTCCAGAAATTGTTTGATACCGTTTGACGTGGTAATTGCAAAGACAAATATAGAGGAGTATAGTATTCAGAGTTGTTTAACTATGAAAATAAAAGAACTCTGTATACAAAACTATGTAAGCAGATAGAGTTATATGCTACATGAAATTAT